GTGAAGACAATCACCGGATGGGGATTGCCTTCAAGGAAGTGTCTCCATGCCTTTAGGGCATGGATGACTGCAAGAAGCTCTCGGTCGTAGATCTGGTAATTCTGTTCCGCAGCATTGAGAGACTGCGAGAGGTATCCACATGGGTGGTAAGACCCATTGTCGTCGGTCTGCAGGAGGACTGCTCCTGTTGCAAATAGTGATGCATCAGTGGCCAATGCAAATTGGCGAGAGGGGTCGGGGTTCCGGAGTACAGGTTCAGTGGTGAAGCATTGTTTCAGCTTCTGGAAAGAAGCTTCGCAATCAGTGGACCAGGAAAACATGGTGTCTTTCTTCGTGAGGTCAAGGAGGGGACAAGTGAGGTTGGAATAGTGGGAGATGAAGTGACGGTAGAAATTATAGAATCCTAGGAAGGATCTGACTTCTTTCACCATCGACGGAGTCTGCCATTTGCTGATCCCCTTGAGTTTTGCCAGGTCCATAGCGACCTGTCCAGGTCGGATGATCATCCCAAGGTACTCCACCTCTTGGGAGTCGAAAGTGCACTTTTTGGGTTTGAGGAAGAGTTTGCTCCTGCCGGAGCCTTTCTAAAACACGTTGGGTGCGCATCTGATGTTCTGCAAGGTCAGACGAGAATATTAGGATGCCATCCATGTAGACGATGAGCTATCCTTCATCTATCTCCTTGCTGAATGTCTGGTTCATGTAGGCCTGGAACATTGCAGGTGAGTTACAGAGCCCAAAGAACATCACCTTTGGCTCGAAGAGTCCAAAGGATGTTGAGAAGGCTGCCTTCCATCTGTCGTTGGGGTGAATCAGAATATTGTTGTATCCTGAACAAACATCCACTTTGGTGAAGTATTTTGCATCCTTGAGTTTGGCGATGAGGGGTGGAATAAGGGGGAGTGGATATGTGTTCTTGATAGTCCATTCATTAATGTACTGGTAGTCTTGACAGGGGCAAAGGGAGCCATCCTTTTTCCCTACAAAGAAGAAGCCTGAAGCTTGAGGCGACTTCAATGGCTGGATAAAGTCTTTCTGGAGGTGTTCGTCCAGAAATGCTTTAATCGCTTCTGTTTCTTTCAGAGAGAGTGGGTAAGCACGAGAAGATTTTGGAATAAAACCTTCCTTTGTCTTGATCCAGTGGTCTACACCAAGTCTCGGTGGAGGGAGCTTGTTAAGCCCATCCTTCACAAATATATCTGTGAAGTTGTGAAGGTATTTAGGGACAAGCTCTTCGAATGGTTTCTTCTTTGTTTCTTGAGCTTTGTCCTTGGCGAATTCTTGTGCCTTGTTACTGGTTTTCATATATTCCTCCTTTGCTGTAGCAAGGATCCAGATATTGCGAAGGAGAGTCTTCTTGGTCTTCGTGGTCTCTGTCTTGGAGGTTCCATCCCTAGTTAGGGAAGTGTCGAAGGTAAGGTTCTCAATCAATCTGACCAAAAAACCATCAGCCGAGTATTCTATAAGAATCTCGTCGTCAGTCAGAGGGTAAGTCACGACTTCCTTGAATTCGGGTAGGGGTTTGATCTTCCCTACCCAGACATCTTCCATGATGTCAGTTTCTTGGGGCATTTCAAAATGCTTTTCTTCATCTTCTTTTTCTTCTTTTTGCATTGGATCTCCTCGAGGGTGTGTTCCGTACCCAAGGGGAGTGTCTTTAGAGGCTTGAAAGGGGCCTCTTCTTTATCTTCGATAATTGGTCGAAGGCCTTTGAATCAATAGGGGGTTACCCCACATTCTTTTCAAACTTTGTTGAGTTGCTTCTCAATGTGTCTGGATCTTGGTGTGGGGTGCATGGTGATTTTGTTGCGTTCCCAATTGATATCCGGTTTCATGGCAGATAGCCAGGGTTTCCCTAGCAATATTTTGTCTCATTCAGAAAGTCTAGTGATGTTAAACTTTCCCCACATGGTTCATCCATCGAGTCAGATGTAGAGCATGCAGTATTGGGTGACCTTCCCAGCAGTGGATTGGCTTCCATCTACCATGGTGATGCGGAAGGGTTTCTTCAGGAGGTGGGTTCTGATATTGTGCTTCTTTATGAAGGTGTCACAAATAAATGTTCCCCCAGCCCCTGAGTCAATGATGGCTGTTGTTGCAACGGTTTTCATACTCATGGAAGAGAAAAGTGTCACCGGGACACAGAATTCATTTTCTTTTCCTACAGTATGAGTACACAGAATATCTAAGGAGGGGACGCACGTTGCTCTTGCGGTCCTCCGCTTTAAAAATCCTTCTCTTCATGGAGCCAGTTGGTCTCCATGTCATCTCTGGAGTCTTCTTCATCATGCTGGTCCTTGCCAGCCATTACTGGAGTCTTTCCTTTGGTATCTTCTTTCACTCCACATTGTATCTTCAGGTGGAATCTGGGATCATTGGCTCTGTGGCCACACTCTTTGCAATTGAAGCAAAGGCCCTTCTTGTAGCAATTGTCCTTCTCTGCCTGGGAGAGGGTGCGGTCTATGTCCATAGTGTTAGGGTCTCGGGATGATGATAAGACATTAGGCTTGGGGTAGTACTTGGATCTGCGAGGGGGAGATTGGGAGTGTTGGTTTCGGGAGTTGGCAGAGATGGCCTTACTCCTGCGGTAGTTAGCGTCGAGCTGAACCGCAGAAGTGTACCATTTGTCGATAGTGTCAGGAAGTGTCTCCTTCCTGTAGATTGCTTCTCGAAGGCTTGGAAGTAAACCTTTCTCAAAGAAGTGTGAGAGTGTCACACCTTCCTTGATATTGGCAATGGTAGCCAATGTCTTGAACCTTGAGATGTATTCTGTGATGTTGTTTCCCATCCTAAGTTCGGCGATTTCAGTGAGAGCATTCATGTTATGACTTGGATGGTATCTGTTGGCGACGCTCAAACAGAGCGTGTGTCATCAATGGTCGAGGACGTCCTTGGGCTAGCCCAAGGTTAGGGGTCTTACTTGGCGAAGCTTCGGCAAGTAAGATTTGATGCCTATGTCCAAATCGGGTAGCTTACGTCAAGCGGCTGCTAGACGATGAGCTGTATCTGCCAAGGCTTACGACACCCGAAGGTTAATCGTAAGATCATCGTTAATTAGAAGGACTGGAAGTCCGACTAGTTAACAGGGGCTTTGCTTTGTCGACGAAGTCGATAAGCAAAGATCGAGACTATAGGCTTATCCGCAAAGAGCAGATAAGAAGATAGAATATAGACTGCTGGCGAGGCAGAAGGATCACTCTGGTGAGAGTAGGAGGTCAAGAACCAAGTAGATTTAAGTTAGGGAATATAGTACATGGTAGCGAGTTTATATAGAGGACAGGAGGCGTATTAGTGGGTGATAACTCGTACTACCAAGAGAAGTAAATGGTAAAGGACATAACCATAAAAGGAAAGCACATTTGAGGTGAGACACGGGCGAACCAGAACGTGCTTGATAAGAAAGTGAGTCAAAGGTCAAAATAAGAAGTGAAACGCGCAGGGGCATGATCATGCAGCTGTGGAGCTAAGTATAAGTCGCATGTGCGACTGCGCACCGAGTCAGAGATCAAGAAAGGGAAAAGGGCAAAGGGGATGCGGCATGCATCATATCATAGGTTACCGTCCAGACGGTAAGGGCAAGGGGACTGTCCACAGGATCAGTCAGGTGGCGGAACAGAGCATGGGTATGCTTCGTCAGCGAAAGGATCCGGCCAGATGTACTGGCTTTGCTGAAGCGACAAGTAGAGAGCGAAGGGGAATGCGAGGATGACAAGGATGACAAGGGTAAGGTCGGGATAAGGGTATGATGCGAGGGCTGATACGAGGAGGATTAGGAGAAAAATGGTAGGGGCCCAAGCGTCTAGATGTTCTTGTAATAATTCACCTGCTTATCAACCGGTTGGAAAGCAAGGTTGAAGCTTTTCTCAAATTCGACAAATGTCCCAAACTTGGGGGGTGTGTGGCTGAAAGCTTCGTGATAGAAGTTGTCAGCCCATGCTTTAGCACTGTTCTGTATCATGAACGACAGGGCAACAGAGACCATGGTCTGTTCGCTGTTGTAGACAGTACTGTTGATGAGGAAGTACATCTTCATGCTATAAAACCATTGTTGCGCATCGTTGGTGTTACCATCGAAGTCCTTGGGTGCACCTGCTTTGAGTTCAGGGGCATGGATGACAATAGTGTTCTGGGAGGATGGTCTGGGGTTAGACATTCTTGTCTTTGGATTTGCGCTGGTGTTTCGGGGAGGTACTTCGTCTGGAAAGTCCTCTTCAGAAGTCGGAGTATGTTCCTGATCTTCTTCATTGTTCAGTCCCTCGTCGAGTGGTACTGTTCTGTTGGTGAGGTGGGAGAGCTAAACTGTCCGTCTACCTCTTCTTTGTCAGGGTCTTCCTGATTCAGGTCACACTCCCAGAAGAATTTGGGTGTCCAGGGAGTGGTCATCTTGTATCTGTTTCTGTCCTTGATGGATGTCGAGGTTTAGAAGGGAACTTGAATCTTTTGTTATGAAGGAAGGCACGTTCAAGGTGAGTCATAGGTGAACCGGAACGTGCAGATAGGAAATGAGTCAATAAACAGAAACAGGAAGTGAAACGAGCAGGGGCACGATCGTGCAGCTGTGGAGCTAAATATAAGTACAAATGTGCGACTGCGCACCAAGTCATAGATCAAGAAAGGAAATAGGGCAGAGGGGATGCGGCATGCATCATATCATGGGTTACCATCCAGACGGTAAGGGTAAAGGGGACTGTCCACAGGATCAGTCAACGGGTGGAACGGAGCATGGATATGCTTCATCAGAGAAAGGGTCCAGCCAGATGTACGGGCTCTGCTGGAGCGACAGGTAGAGGGCGAAGGGGAATGCGAGGATAACAAGGATAACAAGAGCAAGGTCGGGGTAAGGGTGTGATGCAAGAGCGGAGATGAGGAGGATAAGGCAACAAATGGTAGGGGCCCCCAAGCATATAGATGTTCTTGTAACAGCAGCCAATACTAAAACAAAGCGAGATCTCACTGCAATGTGGGAAGGAATTGACTACTTGTTTATAGATGAAGTATCCATGATAAGCTGCAATTTTCTCACCAAAATTCACAATGCGCTAGTTGATGTCAAAGGAAACACAGCGCCGTTTGGAGGAATAAATATTATTTTTGCTAGAGATTTTGCTCAGCTTTCACCTGTGACTGGCAAACAACTATATGCCCACCTTGATCTTAGATGCTGTGCGACAACACAGGGACAAAAAAGTATCTTTGGCAGACTCCTGTGGCTATCAATAAGCACTGTGGTTTTATCAACAAAAATAATACGTCAATCAGGTCCTGAAAACAAACGGTTCGTGGAATCTCTTACATGCCTGCATGAAGGCAAATGTACCTTAGATGATTATCAGCTTTTGCAAACAAGAGTAATTACCACCAGTGCTGGAAACACAAATCATTGCAAATGGAAAGATGCACCGATCATTGTCTGTGATAATGAAAGTAAAGATGAACTGAACATTAGAATGATGACAGCATTTGCAAAAAGGACAGGACGGACTCTTCATTGGTACCACTGTACAGATAAACATCAAGGAAAATGTCTATGTGACCAGGATCTGATCAACAAACTACAGCATTTGAATTCAGGAAAAACAAACATGCGGTTAGGTAAAATCCTGTTAGTCATCAGCATGCTGATCCTTGTCTCTCAAAATTTTGACGTTGAAGGTGGAATTGTGAATGGTAGTACCGGCATACTAAAGAAAGTAAGATACTCCCTTAACAATGATAAACAACAAGTGCTGAGATCCTGTATTATAGAAATCAGTCGATCATCAAATGAAGCACTCCCAAACCTACATCCACATGAAATACCTATCATTGAAGACTCCATAGAGCTCAGATTTACACATCCAAACTCAAAAAAAACATGCTGTATTACTCGTAGACAGGTTCCTATTCTGCCAGGTTTTGTTATCACTGCACATAAATTGCAGGGCCAAACATTAGAGAAAGTTATTATTGACCTTAGCTCGAAATGGTGCCGAGGAGCTGAGAAACCATATGTAATGGTATCACATGTGAGCTCCCTGCAAAGCCTATTCATCCTACGTCCATTTAATTACAACAAAATTTGTTCTCACCCATCACAAGACATCTGACAAGAAATGCTTCAATTACATGTACTGAACCTAAAAACATTAATTGACTCACCGCATGCAACCGATGAACAACGAGAATATGCACAAGAACAAATACCATCCCTCAACAGCCTGATCACACAAAGTAAAACATTAGTATGTACAAAAGATGACCAAGCGCATGAACTTAACAATGTTCAAGAAAGCATTCTCAACCTCGATAACCTTATCTTATCAGGCACCCAACCCGGGTTAAACCAACAACCACGTCGTCAAAAGAAAAGGAAACAGATTGAGGATCCTATACCTCAATCCGAATCAGCAGATAATAATCTGCATTTGCCTCCACGGCGGACCAAACACCACAAGAGGACCTGACTATGAGCAACAACAATCTTTGTCAGCAGAGGTATACTTCATATGAATATTCATCAACAAATAAAACCATGGTGTGTCATACCCTTATAATCCCAACCTCTTTTTATTTAAACAGGGGTGCAATGCAGTTCGAACTCAATCAAACTTCCACTGAAACCACCACCATGTCTATTCCCGACTCTAAAGTCCTATGTTTCTCCCAATGTGCCGCAAATGGCATATATGATTGTGTAGCTGATGCAATGACTAACCTCAGAAAAGATGGCTTAGGAGAAGCTGATTTTGGCATTGATTGGTGCACGACGGTACAAGACAACTACAGCGGAACAAATTGGTCTTACGTAAACACCAAAGACGGTCGACCGTTTAAGACCAATATTGTCGGCCAAATTGCGACCTCCACATACGGCACTAAGCATTCAGCCAAAGGCACTCACTTTACTAAAAAGGCACGTGATACTCATCGAAATTCACTTACATAATCTGACACTTGCAACACAAGAACGTACCTCTGAATGACTCCGACACTGTCAAATGGAAGTGGGCACTCTCTAAGCCCACTTTATGCTCACCCAATTTAGCGGACATCTGGGAGAACCAACTGACATCTCTCGAAGATTGGGTGGCCGAAGAGAAGAAGAGAACAGCTACGGTCAGTAACACTCATAACACTATTTGAGGTCTAACGAACTTCACAGGATTCTAAGATCAATACTTGCGCCGTCAAGAGCAACAACGACCTGCAGTATGCGGACCTCATCATTGTGACATCGAATCGCATCTATGAGGTGAGCAACAAAGTTGGTCACTTCCACAGCACTACACTAAACATCTTGATCACTGAAACCAAACGGGAAAAATGTTTCCGCCAGTCAGGAAACCGCTCCCCGACGAATGAAAAGAAAGATTGCGAATGAGGCGAACATGACGGGTCAACAGACCACGCCGATGTCCACAACAACTATAGCAAGCACAATCGAACCCGTAAATGTCCCAATGCCTACCGCAGATGAAGGCATGTCAAACTTCACATGGTCCACGCCAATACTCACCAGTCATTTACAAGTCTTTCAGGGAGCTCTTTACGATCCAAGAATCCTCCCCGACTACCGCGGATCGTACTTCCAACTGCGTCAAAATAAGCTCAAACAACTCAATATCTTCGACACGCCAGATAACGACTTCAGGTTGGTTCCCATGCACGAAACGTACGCCAAATTAAGACCGGGAACACTCGTTCTCGCTGTCTGCGAAGCGCACGTATAAAACATTGTACAGAATGGGACACCTACAAGTGCACGCTCCTCTAACAATCCAACTTTACGCCTACTAATCTCGCATCAGACATTCCAGCTAGGAGTACAAGCGATCAAAATTCTTGATCCCTCTGACGAGCCTATCGAAGAACGGTTTATCCCAATTCTTTCGTCGACTTCAACAGAGATGTCAAATGACAATTCAGCGATCGCTAGCTTCTCCACGTTCGATGTCGGTATCAGCCCTACGAAGAAATCAAAGCATGCAAAGGGGGGAAAAGGCAAAGAAAAAATGGATTGATCACTGTTTCAGCCTGAGCATTGCCATGTACTTGTACCGATGAATTGTGTCTCTTCTGCCTGACTCGTTCAATACTACTTACGTGTATTTGTAACAACCCCTGGTTTTTTCACAATGGTACGCCTGACTCGTCTAAAAAAGTCTGAGTCGCTCAAGAGGCAGGGACGGGCCAAACCGGACTTCATAAAAAATGCGAATGACAAAGTCGGTAACATGTCAGCCGTAGCGGGCTCTGCCGCGAGCGGCCTTGCGCGTTATGTTGACAACACCTAGTTTTTTCATTGGCTGGAGGCCACGTTATCCTGAGAATCCGCTGTTCATCAAACCCAATTTTACCTGTTCGTCTATCGACGGTTTGCCAACCTCATAGACGGGCTGGTAACCAGCTGGTTTGATCATGAGCGGGCGGGCGGTGTGATCTCAAAGTATGTTTGCACCTCCCGGGTCCACTTCTCACAAACGACAAGCCACAGATCAGGTTGACGTACGTTCGTGTCGTTCCAATGGATTTAATGTGGCTAAGTGATTTTTGAGATCGTTATGAAGAGTCGAGGATTTCATTGGTACAGCTGAAACTTTCACGGAACGCCGTTACGATGGATGAGTTGACGAGTGCCTTTGAAATGTGAACCAAATGGTGGATGTTGCATCACATTTCCTATGGGGATAGGACCTCCTAAGTATCGGTCGTGACTTGCCAGTGACCGTACCATCCTCCGCCAGCTCAATGTGATACACATGTAGGTCTGCATCGTCGATATCCATGTTTAGAATCTAGACTGATAGTCGGTCTGTCGTTTCGAGGTCATGAGTACTGCCAGCCAAACTTGGGGCCGAATTTGAATTGATAATATGATCTATGGTTCTAAATGTTGCGCGAAGTCACCCGGTGACTCGGTGTACATATCAATAAATACGTACCAATGCCCGGTCTAGTAGCGTTCTCTGCTCCCTTCCAATCTTCGCCTATTCTGATTCGACATGACCTCCCCAACTGAGATTGCATTGCGTCTTCAGGTTGTCAAGGTAAGTCTGGCCACTACTAAACGAACATTTTAGTCCTCACGAGCCCCGCGATTTCAGTATTTTAAGAGTAAGTAATACAGAACTCTTATGATACCGCCGCATTTCTGACTTGTAATTATGAAAGTGATAGGATTGACGATCTTGGTACGAAATCGAACAGATAAATCAGTTAAGCGATGACATCAGTAGCAGGTCTTTGACTATTGTATCAAGCTAGAAGCTGAGGTGGGTCCTCCATCCATTTAGTACTATGCTCTCAAAGTTTCAATTGACACGCCGTAATAGATCGACCTCACTTGGGGGAGGAAGTGGGATTTGATCCGGGTCCTTTTCGTGGTGGCTCGATACGTGCCTTTTATTGTCGTTCCGGTGGACTTGATTTGTACGCGTCCGTTCAATTTTACATCGTTGCATTGCTCAATCGACGATTCAAGATTCCCTTGGACCCACATCACCAGAGATTGTGAGCACCAATATTATACATAGGCTATATTGCATTCATAGAAACACTATTCTAGTGCTTAACGCTCTACCATGTCATCTCGTGTGAGCACCTTTTATCCCTGATATCTGCACTTTGCACCTTATAATTCTGGATTAAAATACAAAGGGGTTAACATAATTGGCATCGTTGCCGCAGAAGGTAATGGATACTTCTCTCGCATTGTTTTAGCATAATACTCACTGGATATCCAGCACTCCTGCTTGTTAGGACGTACACATTATGGGGAAGAAACAGAGTGTTACTTGTTGCCCTACTAATACTCGCGCTGGTAAATCCATGCCCACAATCGGCGATATCTATCTTAATCACGATATCTTGCAGGGCTGCACTGCAGGATCTGGGGTGGTCGGTGCCAAGGCTTTATCCTGGTTCGAGTGTACGTTTCATTACAGCCTTCCTTGGCGGGCCTCCATTCCAACGGGGCTATCATATAGACCAGGATCCCCCACTATCAACTTCCGGTTGTTATCAAACCCATAGAGTTGCAATATACGCAACCAACTATACCCTACTGGTTCTTTTTGAGACAGGTCATTTATTTTTTCTGTAGTGTTACTAAAGCTGACCCTACACATAGTCATACTATCCCTCAATGTTATTCAAGCCTTGCGTCGACGAAGACAACATGGCAGCCATCTCATTACGCGTCTGTACTGGGATGGCATAGTCTATGTTCTGTGTATACTAGGTGAGCAATTCTCGTCGTTGGATTCGGGGTACTAGGCTAACCCTCAACTTAATTGCATAAGCAATGTCAATAGCCAACATCATAGTTATAGGTTTCCTGCCGGTAAGACATACCCTTTTCAATTAAGTTTTGCTAACCTTTTGATGGAGTCGGAATATGCAGAGTCTGTCGACACGTAGGTTTCACCCTCGAACATTCTGAATGTGTTTGACATGTGTCTTGTATACTACTCAGACTCCAGTTGGTGTTTCACAGCGTCTTATCCGCCCGCCTTATTTTCAACTTACGAGCCATCATACGACGACGACATGAGCAAGCCATCCCACTATCGGAAATGGACCCAGATGTCGAATATAGTAGATGCGACATTTCTTCGCGCTAGATATTTCAGCCTGTACAACCTATTGAAAATCAACTTCTTCAGAGCAATACGAGTACAATTGACATCTTTCTATCAAGGCGCTTGCAAAAACTCCGTAATCTTCTCTGTTATGAAGGCGACATCTGCCGGGTTCGCACTACCCCCTGCAACATGACCCCAGATCGATGGAATCACATGTAATTTAGCATCTCTGAGATGCGACACTTCCGTCTCGCTGTCCTCCGGCTTTTATGATGTCAGTAGTCGACTCGCAGTTGCTTGGTAGGGGACTGACCGGAAAGTAAAGGTCCGTCTTACAAGGCATAATAAGTCCCTTTGCTTTAATGCTCTTGAGAGCCTTTTCATAGTCTCCGCCATCACGAACGATGGAAATGTCTCCCTTCTGCCATGTGTTCAAAAGTGCGATCATATCGTTTGCATCCCAGTTATTGACATATCCCCCTTCCCACCGCTCCCTGAGGAACGAGTTCAAGTCCGGGTACCTGTTCGCAAAATTTTATGAAAGAGCCTCATGAACATGTATTGCGACATGACTTACTCTCCGTCCATCAGGTACTTGTGCTCCCGAAACCACTATAAAAGTTGAATTATCCTGATCTTTCATCGTGAGATAACTTACAGTTTGCCCATAGGCCCACGCGCTGTAGACTCGACCGAACGCACGGATTCCATGTTGAGGAGGGCTCTGATAATGTCCGTCGGCAAAATCTTTGCTTGCTAGCATCGCTGCCTTGGGCCCTTCCAGGAAGCTAGAGCGCAAGTCGTACGCGGAAAAAACGATAAAAATGGGCAAAGGACCCACCATTGGTTATGGGGACTCGTGCGAGCAGACGAGCATATGGAAACAAACCGCTCTACGAAGTCGGGGAAGACGACTGGCCAGTGATACGCCTTGGGATAGGACCTAAGAGATTGCACATAGTGTCCCAAGGAGGCGAATTACCTGTTGTCCGCCCATAGAAAATCCAACTACGCAAAAGAGCTTGCGCACTCCAAGATGCTTTGTCAAAACTGCGTGCTGAGCGCGACTTGTTAATGTGAGCCTGTGTTTGATTTTGCAAGTCATTTCATGACCCACATGTTATCTTCGTAAGAAACGAATGGGAAGTACGGGCCACCACAGGGTGCAGGCTAAGGGGTTGTCATAAAGGGGGTAAAGTGTACAATTATAGACACTAACTGTGTTGGAAGGAGACGATGACTGTAATGTTTCAGTCAGCGAAAATGGCAAATCAGAAGGAAGCGTACCTCTCCATTACAGAAAAGCGCGAATGCCACCACGAAGTATTTATTTGGGTCAAGGGCCTGTTGTCAAAATATGAAGAATGCGTATTCCACTTCATGAACGCACATACCTTGCCTTCCCCAACGAGATAGTCTTGACCTGTGTGTAATTAGATGAACAACTGTTTCCGCGTTCGAAACTGACAATCATACTTCCAAGGGCGAGTTTTGCCCCATAACATGTCGGGAAAACAATCACTTTATCGTTGTTTGGGTCTCCGTATGTTCGGTATGCGGTCACAGCATCAGGGAGTATTCCTCCTGCTACTTTGAAGCGGCCGTGATGGTAATACTGGGTCGGTGACTGCATGAGGGAGGGCTTAAGGGGGAGAGATGATGCTGTCTGCATAACGACCACATGCTTTTATAGTATGCGTGTATAGACTGATACAGGCGGTCCGACAAACACCATGAGTACCGATAAGTAGGCTGATCTGGGTAATGAATCATGTGGTCATGAGCTACTTCAAGATATTTATAACGTTCCTCGGCATTGGCGTTTGGTGTGAACGGCGACCGAGAGTACTCACCAATAAGTTGTTCCTGTGGGATATAACAAGACGTGTGAGTGCATATTTCGATGGATTGGGTGGGCCTTATCTTGCTTGCAGGAAGGACACACATTCGAAAACATAATACAGAGTTGGAGATACAATGTGGACTAAATTACATACATAATTCACATGCATGACTTTGTAGATAATTTCTGAAGGAGAACTCAAGGTTCCTCCAAAAATTTCTTCACCTCCGCTTGGATGAACTCATCAGCGTGCACGTTTATCCCTGCCCCAGCTATAGAATATCAGTATAATAAAGTTCAAAGCAATTCAAGCGCGACAAGCTTACCCATATGACCCCACTCAGAATCAATAACAACTAGCTTTGCGTTATTCAAAAATTTTATCTCATCTCGACTGTCCTCCGGCTATTCAAGGGCCCATCAATCCAAACCCAAGTGACAGAGGTGAAAATACTCACAGGGAAGTACAGGTCCGTCTTGCAAGGCATGATCAAACCTCTAGCCTTGGTCGCTCCTAGACAGTTCGCGAAGTGACCTCCATCACGGATGAGAGAAACATCCCCCATCTGCCATGTGTTCAAAAGTGTCAACAAATCGTTGGCATCCCACCCTTCTAGAAAACCGCCTTCCCATTCCTCTCTTAAGAAGTCATTGAGACTCGTGTATCTAGTGGTCATATTGAGAAAACGGAGAGTGGAATACAATAAACGGCGCACTTTCCGTCGAAGAGATAATTTTTCTTGGCAAACCACTGCGGCAATTTCAGTATGACAATTAACTAGAGATGTGGAAGCTCACCGCCTGGCTATATGCCCATGCGCTGTATGCACGGCCAAATGCCCGGATACCATGCTGAGGAATGCTCTTGTAGTGGCCATCCTGGAAGTCTTTTGAGGCCGAAAGAGCGGCTTTTGGACCCTCTAGGAAGCTGTAGTCGGATCAACACAGACACAAATGTAAGGTGTCTAGAAGTACCATTGATTGTGAGGGCTGGTTCGTGCAGAACCACAAATGGGGATGTATCTTGACCACAGTTAGAGGAAGAGTTACCCATACAGTCATCAAAACATACCTTTCAAGGAAGTCAGGATACATGACAGACCAATAGTATGCCTGTAACGCCTCAGAAAAATCATCATTACTCGTTTACGAACAAGTTTACCTGCTGCGCGCCCATTGAAAAACCGATCACGCAAAATACTTTATTGATACCAAGCCTCTGGGTGAGCACAGCGTGCTGTGCCCGGCTGAACTATGTCAGCAGCTTCAACCATCTAAGATGGGAAAGACTCACATGTTGTCTTCGTATGTGACGGTCGGGAAGTAGGGGCCGTTGTACGGCGCAGGCTACCGTCATTATGAATTCGTGTGCCAGACAGTGATTTGAGGAAACTCACTGTGTTAGAGGGTGAAGAAGACTAAAGCAACATGTGAGTTAAGCTTGACCACGCCATCTCTACACCATATTGCTTACCTCTCCGTTGGAAAACAAGGCAAAGGTCACCACGTAGTACTTACGCGGATCCAAAACCTATCGCTAGCGTCAGTTATAGAAAAACAAGATCAAGCTACATGGCATTACCTTGTCTTCCCCTACCATGTAGCTTTGACCTATTAATCCATTTTCTAATTCAAACTCTAGCCACCATATGAGAGCACGTTCAAAGACTCACTGTCAAGCTTTCCCCCATAACACGTAGGAAACACGACAACCGGATTCTTTGGGTCGCCAAATGTCTGATATGCAGTGATGGCATCAGGCAGCACGCCACCTGCAACACGGAAGCGCCCGTGGTGGTAATATTGGATTTCAGCTACCTGAGACATGGTTTAGAGCAAGGGATATTAATTCCATCAGTGAATGGGCGGAGCGTATTATAATAAAGACTCGAAAGGATATCAGTGCTGAACCATGTGACTTGCAAGTTTGTGGGAGTTGAAGATAAGGATGTGGACGACACGGGTTTGCGATAGCGATAAATATATCTCGTGTTACACGATAATGTCAGGGAGGGCATACTGGAGGATATTATGGTGCTCCTCCATGTGCCCGAACCTGAGAAGGTGGCGTCCGAGTCGAAACTGTGCACACTGCAAGGAAATTTGTTTTCAACAAGAGAGAGACCGTTAAGTCTTGAGCTAAACGTTCTAAAGGAAGTTCAACATCCTCGAGTAGCAACTCGAACATGGAGGTCAAAACTCAGCGGCCTTCAAATCACGCGGCCATGACCAATTCTTCGGCAAGGTCCGCCACAGCTCACGTGATTATACCATGCTGTGGCTGATAAACTGTAACAGTTATAATTAAGGTTTCGGGATGATGCCGAACTGGTCCCCAGCACAAGTGTAAAGTTATCCTCGCCGTCCTCGTCGACTTCAAGAATGGGCTGTATGTCGCTCTCGTTACGATCACCAGTGGAATAACCATGTACTGATGGACTCTTCTATCAGCCAACAAACCTCGTGGACTTCAAGCCGCTCGCAAGCTTCGTACTGACCGCCGTGTCAACCGATGGGTTCGTATTCGCAATCCCTTGGATATCACACATCTGAGACTCTATCCTTTTTCTCAATAGGCGGACAAGGCGTATAAGAAGCGCGCCCTTGGTAACGTCTACAAAACCTCCCCCACTGGAGGATCATCACACGCAAAGGGCATCGTCCTCGAGAAAGTCGGTGTCGAGGCCAAGCAACCCAACTCTGCCATTCGTAAATGTGTCCGTGTACAACTTATCAAGAACGGCAAAAAGGTCACAGCTTTCGTGCCTGTACGTGCTTTCATTGTCGATTGCCGCGAATTAACTAATACATCAACACAGAATGACGGTTGCTTGAACTTCGTCGATGAGAACGATGAAGTTCTCATCTCTGGTTTCGGTCGTAGTGGAAAGGCCAAAGGTGATATTCCTGGTGTGCGCTTCAAAGTAGTGAAGGTCTCAGGGGTCGGTCTTCTCGCGTTGTGGAAAGAGAAGAAGGTCAGTTAAATTAGCATCATACCGCTATCATTGTACTCATCATCTTCGCAGGAAAAGCCCCGGTCATAAGCATCATTATCTTGTTCCTGTCATTTCATGTTATCGCATTACCTATGATTATGCCTGTGTCGCACATGCCGCACACCAATGAAAAGCCAACACCATCATGTCATAGGATCACGCCGCACCACTTTCCTGTCTCATGATCTACCCCAGATACAGCGTTGGGTTATATGGCAAAGACGTCAGATTCATCATCATTCGCCCAATATCCAAATGCATGTCATTCCAAAAACGTTATTCACAGGAAATTGTGAATTAAAGTGCGATGATCATAAGGAATCTTGTCCGGTCATAAATTGGCATATCATATCATGCCAGCTCATATTATCGTGATGCCTTGTCCTTCCATGTACTTCCTTAGGTCCTTCAGCAACTCCAACTGCTCGTTAACGGTAAGCCCGCTAACGATCATCTGCAAGATAGAACCCACGCTAACGTGGTGTTCCCGAATAAGGCTGCTATAATAGACGTAGGTGAACACGCCCATAAGGAATCTAGAAATAACGATGAGTGTCTTGATAAACTTCATTCGAGATTTAGAACTCACTGGCAGTCCATGCGATCGGTCATCCCTCCATGACCAGGGATGCTGTGGCCAAAATCCTTTATGTTGAAGGCGCGCTTAAAACCAGATGCGAAGAAACCTCCAAACGGTGCCACCAGCGATGCGAAAACTGCGAAAACTAGAAGATGTAGTTGGTATGGTGCATAGGGAATCACGGTCACTGATTTCCCGAGCTAATGATGACTCTGAGCAATTACGCAAAACAACTTTAATTTTCACTCACGAGCCGCGAAAGAAATACCCTGAGAGGCGACCAGATTTGCCACACCTTCCAGACAAACACTGGGTTGGGTGTGCACTGAACATTACTCCAGGCGGAGACTCCGAGATCATGCACAGGGCAGATCATGTAGTTGAAGCGCATGAAGTACGAGCCCCAAAGTACGCTGAACAGGAGGGTACTCCAGAAAGCACCCACAAACCCTTCGACAGTTTTTTTCGGAGAGAGCTTGATCAAAGGTGTACGCCCCACGGTCATGCCCCACACATATGCAAATATATCATTGCAGATAACCAACGAGGCGGGGACCCAGAACCAAATCATACCCTCGAGGATATTGTTCACGATGAAGTGACTACAGGATTGCTTTTAGGATAAAGTCTGAAAGCGGACGAGATCCATACCCAGAGACAACGATCAGCAACAGGCTCATGTGGACCCAGCAGAATAGGCCGAATTGCTGTTTGAGGAATCCACGTCTGAGAGACATCACGAAACCAACGAAGCCGATGGTATAGAGCGTAAAGCTGATAATTCTGTGATTGGTAGCGAAAGGAAGTAGTTGACCGTCCGAGAATATAACATGCTGATCTCTAATTCAGTATATAGTAATTATAACCAAAATTATCCCGTACCTTGAAGTAGTAGATGATACTCTCCCCGTATAGAAAATAGTTAGTGACGGCAAAGAAGTACCAGTTTAGAGTCTTGCTCCATGGATCTTTCTTTCCCTTATTTTCTACCTCACCAGAATCCGGGGCATGACTTGTGAGTGAAAATAGAGCAGTAACTTCACGGTAGACAATCGTTTGGCACAGCATGGCAAGCATGATCATATAAACATGACCCATAAGCAGTAAAGCTACGGAATGGTCAGATACGAACATAACCTTCTACGTGAAGTAGAAGAACGCATACCAACGAAACCTCCGATCATAATGAAAGTCCATAGTGTTCGCGTTAGAATACTTTGTCGTGTCTTTGTGCGTTCGACTTCTTGCGGGTCGGGTCCACTTTTGAGTGCCTGTTCGACGTCAGGTTTTGAGACAGACTGTCCTTCACCATCTAGCAGCTTGCTCGGTAGAGGATGCGGTGTAGAGTTGTCTGAATATTCCGTCAATTTCACTTAAAAAGCGCTAGACAGAAGTCAAGATGCATACTTTCCGCGATATTCAGGTGTTGTATATCGCCGTTAATAACAGGCCCCGGAAGTGATGGCTCCGATGGCTCTGGTTCAGCTGCTGGCTCTTGTTGGGGCTCTGCGGTGGACTTCGGCTCGGAAGTAGTATATATTGTATGGAGAGAAACATCTGCTGCTGCATCTGCCGTACGCGTAATGGACTCTTCCAGAGAGGGCGTATGTCTAGGTGAACTATTTGCGGTACCTGCTTTTGAAGAGGCTTTGAGTTGTTTTCGCCTTTCGGTGCGAGCTTGTTTTTGAGCCTTCTTTATTTGAGATTTCGACGGTTTCGTATGCTCAGTGCTAAATAGCCAAGTGAGCAAGCTATGTAGGCGCGAGGTCACAAACGTCAATGAAGACAAACCTGGTCACCTGTGTCTCTGGCGTTTCTTCCTGCTGTTGTTCGTCCTCGAAGTCTTCCACGTCCTCCACGGTGAGAGCGTCGAAGGCAGATCTAGAAACAAATGGCGGGTTCGCTGTTATGCCGGAGGACCTACTCATGGTAGCAGAGAAGGTGGCAGTTAAGGTTTGATGCGTGCAGTTTTGGTGCAGTTTGATTTTGCTCACTTCAAGTTCAAATGCAACACGTGAATGCGTCAAGCTGAACCAAACATCTGCAATTATTACGGTATGTACATCCTACCATAAGCAGGGGGGTAGGTTAAGCCTAGATTGAATCTCTAGGGAATAATGATAACAGTCTAAAAACACTTCAGCCATAAAACATGGACTAGAATTTCCAGGCATCATTGACTTCCATGGCCCAGGGAACTGAAATCAGAGTATAAGTTGCTGTGAAATATCCTCGACGCGAGCTTACATTTAGCGAGGAGTGTCTTGGAGAAGATCTTTTCGATCGGCACGTTGTGGACGCTGCACCATGCAGCTGTTATCCTAGATAGCAGAATAAGCTATTGTCGATGATGTATGATAGAGCTTGAAACTCACCGAGGGTCCAGGTAATTAATCTTACTGTAGAAGACACAGTGAGAATGTGTTACCCGAGTGTGAGCGTGACATACCTTGTACCAAGAGCGACCTCTTTGCCAGCCTCCCGATCGTCCATTTGAAGCTTGAAGGTCTTTATCTTCTCATTCAACTTCTGGACAGCTTCTTCAATCTTCTCGGGAGCACGATCTCTCTTAAGTTTGGCTTTCCCTGTGCCACGTTCCTCTGCAACTCTCTTGTATTCGGCTTCAGCGGCCTCAATCTTCTCCTGCAGGACTGAGTCAGGCTGAGGTTTATTACCCTCCTGAACAAGCTTCTCGTTATCCTTGGCGAATTTCTTCTCCGCCTTCTCTATTTCTTTATTCTTAAGGGACTTCTCGTGGTCCTCTATCCAGTCGTCATCTAAATCGGACTCGTCATCAGCGTACTGCTTCTGCTTCTTGAATTTGGGATCCATGTCGAAGAGAACATGACGAAGCTTCATCCGATCATACTTCAAGGAACGCAGCTATTGGAGCTGTCAGTCATACATCGTATCATGGAAAACATACGAACCCTGTCACGCATCTTGCCCATCGATTGTTCGTGAGTCTTCGGTGCGCTACGTTGATGGTTACAAAGGATGGCCACCATACGATTTGCATGATTATATGCATTCAGTTTCTCCTGGATAGTGGCATTCGCTGGCGTTCCTTCGTCCAACTGTTGTTGAAACGTGATGGATGCATTGTAAGTACGAAAAACCTTTGCAGTCAGTCCTTTCATATACGATGCCAGATGCTTATTCAGGAGCGATGTCTAGGAGAGAACCGTCAGCAAAATGTTTCAAGATTTTGAAGGGTGTCTTGTCACATTGACGCGATCAAAGAGGTTGTCACTATCCTCTTTGTTGTCCTTGAATAGCTTGATATTCTTGAAAACCTGGGGATCCACGGAGACTCGATTGTAGTAGCGGATCGAGTCCTTACCCAGGAAATCAAATATGAGGAAATCCGGCGCTTCTAACGTGACGTGTTCGCATCGCAGAGAGCAGCAGCCCACGGTGTCGGCTTCATCTTCGCCCTTTTCATTTCCGGCTCGGAGAGCGAGCTTGTCAATGAAGTACATCGCCGTTGCACGCTGCCTGTCTGCCATAACCTTGCTGCGCAGATCGGCAGAATAGTCTTTGCGAATGCGATCCACGTGGTTCTAGAGGAATGTCAGTTGATGGAGCATCAGAACCAGCAATTGATTGCACCTTCAATTCACGGGCTTTCTCGAACTTTTGCATGTCGCTCTGCCCTTTGAGGGAACTGCCTGCAGCTAGGAAAACGTATTTGTAATTGCCGTTGACATTCTCAACCCAGTTGGCTAGCCAAGTGACAGTTTGGTCATGCACTACGGCTTTCCATTGTCCAGGCATGTTAGGTACGGGAATAGGCGCTCCTTCACCGATGTTGATGGTGATATCGTCCGGGCGTACACGGAACTACCATAGCGTGAAAAAGTTTTGGTTTTGTTTCAGATCTAAGTGTTAAGCGCCCACCTTTAACGCGCCCTTCTTTGGGTGATCGCCCCGGCCCCTGAACAAGCCAGGAGGTTCAACCCTGAAGTTGCCAACCTTTTCCTTGCGACCGTCAAGAAGACAGGTGATATATTTTTCTTCGAATAGGTCTTTCTGCCTCTTAAGCTCTTTCTTCTCCGCGGTGCTAAGAGCCTTCTTTTTAGCTTTCTCCGCTTCAAAGTGCTCGAACATGGGTCGAAAATCACAATCCTCAAATTTTGTGATCTTGAGCTTGTTGCGCTAGTTGATAGTTGAGCAAGGCAGCGATATGCGAAGTATGATGCTTACAGGAGGATAGTCCTGGAGCACTTTCAGCCAGTCTTCAAAGAAATTTTTGTTGAACGTGACATCTTGAGCGTGCTCAGTTTCCAACATAGCTGCGTAAAAACCGGCCACTTCTTCAGACTCTGATGGCAGATCTACTTCTTTACCTACAACGCAATCAACAAACTTGTCACGGTAGCATAAACAAGGCAATCACGTACCCTTATACTTCATTTTTACATTCGAGGGCAAGGGTTCATACGGTGGAGGAAAGATGACACCATTATGCTCTAACGTTTGCCACTTTACTTCACCATCGTTATTTTGCTGAGCCTCCCACCACTTATAGACTTCCTCCTCATCTTCCCCTTCATCTTTAACTTTGCCCTTTTTTTTGGGCTGAGGAGTCGCCGACCCGTCTGCTCCATCCTTGACCTTCTTCGAAGTAGCTCTCTTTTTTGTGGGCTTAGATTTTCCAGCGTCCTCCTGCTCCACATCTGCATCAGTCTCTTCCTTGACCTTAGACTTTCGTTTCCTCGACACCTTCGCTTGTTTTACAGGTGTGGGTTCCTCGCCTTCAGAAGCGAGAGGTTCGGAAGTCTCAGGGTCTTCGCGTTTCAGCTTCTTCTGTGGGGGACCCTTCTTGGTGGGAGCGCGTTTCTTCTTAGCAGTGGTAGAACTACGTTTGTTATCGCTCTCTGCTTTGACTGTTCTATGCCCATTTACTGTAGGGGCTTTCGATGTCCCTGGCATTGGCATAGTAGGAGATTGTTTCACCGGAGAAGAAGCAAGAGGGGTATCATCATCTTCACTAGACAAATCAAGTGCAACGGCTCGCTTGCGCCGCAAAGACCTTGTTGGAGTTACAGGTTCAGATTTTGGAGCCGTAACTTGAGACTGCGCAAAATAGTCAACGATGCATGCAACACACGGACAGGGGTACACGAACTAAAGGCATGTCCTCATCCTCACTCATGGGAGAATCACTGGCCTCCTCTTTGGTGTACCCATTCGCGGTGCCTCTACCTGGATTGGCCTTGACATCGTTTCGGAAGTCGCCAAGTGGTCGATCGTCATCTGAAGACATATAGGCGTCGCTAGACATTATTTGAAGCGATAATTTGGCACGAATAGCAGAGAAAGCGTCTATGCAGCAATACAGAGAATAAGAAAGCAAGAAGAACAGTGTAAATGAAGGACAGGAAGGCCTCTCCCGCGCTGTGGCAGCTGTTAATTTTTCCGAAGTCTTGATGGACCGGCCCTAAGTCTGAAAATCACATGACCCTGAGTGAACCCGGAATCACAGCTGAACAAGCCGAAAACAAACGGTTTCCTAAGTTTAATATTCAAGTGAGTGAGTTGAACATGTTACTCGAAAACATTTTGACTTATGGTTAGCTTCATTTGTGGTTTAGTCATGTCCAATCCACCTTTGTTTCGTGACCCATGGGCGAAGAGGGAAGCGTGGCGGAAACACCCTGTGTTCACGAACCGTGCCATGTTTTCTAGCATGTTTCCAGGGCTTGGCATCGCACTAGTAGCATTTACCGCGTATGTGGTGGTTGATAATTTCTACTCCAAAGCGCAGCCAGGGTCACAGCAGAAGCACTGAATCAGTTCGGGCGATGTTGGTAAGTGTCAGCAGTAAGATGTCTGTCTGTGCATTAACGTTTAACTGCCGGATAGAAAGGAATTTCTTGGTGTTCCTTTACATTCTATCATCTAGTTGAGTCCGCGCTCAGTACTAGCTAGTAACATAGTGTTTGATAGCACATTGCACACAAAACGTTGCATATTCGCGCCATTGGCATTGGCACGGGATAATGCTAATGAGAAACCCCCTTACCTGGGGGTACTTGCTTAGTCAGCAGAAACCCTGCTGACTTTCAATACTGTCAGGTTCTGTAGCACAATTAGATGTTAACTCGATTATAATTAACCTCGCTGGATTTTAGAAGGCGTTCGAACACCGGCGTAGCCAAAATCGGCTCTTCAACATGCCGAGGAGCCGGCTGTTATTGAAGGCTAACAGTATGTTGTCGCTCATAATAGCGGTCGTGCCCAAGGGGGTAGCAAACATAAAGTTTTGAACACGGACTCGCAAAAGTTGAGCGACCAGGACCCCGAAAACAAGTCGAATACTATACCATACTGTACCATACTCGCCCAGCAAAAATTTTGCTAAGTCCATGCACTACACATTGAATTGTAAGTAAGTAATGGCTTCAGAACACAGCTTGATGGTAAAGCAGCTTGTGACATTAAATTGTGCATTGTGCAGTTACATATGACTATTATGATAGGTCTAGTACTAAGGTAATAGTAGGAGTAGCTTCGATGTACTGTATGTGCGTGAATCAAATTTAAAATTTAAACCTTCTTTGAGTGCTTGGAACCGGTGGTGCCTTGAAGTGTTTGACGCCTGCGCTTCATTAACGAGTTTTGACTAGTACTAGCCACAGCAGTTGCATTTGAGTCATCCTGAACACTGTTGTCAATCAAATCCAGTGGTATCCCGAGGCGTTCCTTTTCAAGCTGTGAGATTTCAATTTCCTTTGTGAAGCCAGCCAGAAGGGATTCATCCTCTATTGTCATATCCATGTCTGAGTCATAATCTAGGACATAAAGAATTTCGGCAGGTGCAGGCTCTGGATTGTAACGTGCGAGAGTGGTTCCATCCTCAGGGGTAGGCTCAGAATCAAAGCTAAGCTCAAAGTCAGAGTTGGAGAAGCCATCCAGTGGCCACTGGCAGGTGCTGTGTAACTAGTGATGTGCCTGGCCTGGCCTGGGTGTCTCATAGGCCATGGCCTAGGGCTCAGGCCAGGGCTTCTACATAGTAAATGGATTTTTCCGGAATGTACTGTACAGTAGTTACTAAATTAAACTTTGCAACAACCACATCTGCTGGAAGTTGGCTGAACAACATACCCAGCCCGAGTGTTACAAGAACATCTAGACACTTGGGCCCCTACCATTTTTCTCCTTATCCTCCTCATCTCCGCCCTTGCATCACACCCTTACCCCGACCTTGCTCTTATTATCCTCATCATCCTTGCATTCCCCTTTGCCCTCTACCTGTCGTTCCAGCAGAGCCAGTACATTTGGCTGGACCCTTTCTCTGATGAAGCATACCCATGCTCTGTTCCACCTGTTGACTGATCCTGTGGACAGTCCCCTTTACCCTTACCATCCAGACGGTAACCTATGATATGATGCACGCTGCATCCCCTTTGCCCTATTCCCTTTCTTGACCTATGACTCAGTGTGTAGTTGCATATTGTACTTATACTTAGCTCCGCAGTTGCACGATTGTGCCCCTGCTTGTTTCACTTCCTGTTTCTGTTCTTTGACTCATTTTTATCTGCATGTTCCAGTTCGCCTATGACTCACCTTGAACGTGCCTTCCTTTTCTAGTATCACCCTTTGACCAGTTCCCATTCTGGTAGTACAAGTTATCACCCACTAATATGCTTCCTCTCCTCTATATAAACTCGCTACCATGTATCTAGTTCTACAACTTGAATCTACTTGGTTCTTGACCTTCTACTCCTAACAAGAGTGATCCTTTCTGCCTAGCCAGCAGTCTATATTCTACTTTCTTATCTGCTCATCGCAGATAAGTCTTTAGTCTCAATCTTTGCTCATTGACTTCGTCAATGAGCAAAGCCCCTGTTAACTAGTTGGACTTCTGTCCTTCTATTAACACAGATCTTACGATTAACCTTCGGGTGTTGTAAGCCTTGGCAGATACGCTTATCGTCAAGCCCCGCTTGACATAAGCTACCCGATTTGGACATAGGCATTAAACCTTGCTTGCCGAAGCCTCGCCAAGCAAGACTCCTAACTTTGGGCTAGCCCAGAGATGTCCTCGACCATTGATGACACACACTCTGTTTGAGTGCCGCCAACAGATACTATCCAAGTCCGTAACACCGAGAATGACTCTCACAGTCATGTCTGATGATGACGCAGTTACTGCTGTCACAGTATGTTCTAAACGAACAATCATACCTTCTTCTCGGCTCCTCGATTCCAATAATAGTGCAACATCCGAATTAACTAGCCACAAGCAGGTCCAGCGGCTAGTTCAACCAAACACTGCTCCCATGACAAATCCACGCAATGCCAAGCGAAATGCAGACAACGCTGGCTGGAGTTCAAGTCTCTCGAATCAGGACAAAGATTTGGACAATGAAGATTCTAACAAATCAGTATACAAGGGTAAGTACTATCAATCTTTGTGCCGGTATGCTCACTATTTTATTTTCATAGTCAAGCACCTTCATTGAGCCAGCGAGCCATCCTTCACAGATATTGATGACACTTGTTCGACTCATTCATTCAGCACACACACAGGTAAGCACACAACTCATTTCACCATTGAATTCTAATGCTACTACTAACTTCTTACTCTAGCGCATACAGGTACACATGAGGACTCCATTGATCGTGACATTGACATCACTGGTGATGGCGATGACGAGAACAACAGCGACGGCTTCCTGCAAGACATCAATGTGCAAGATATTGCTGTTCCCGGAATGGTTCGATGCGAGGAGAAAACTCGGGATGTCAACACATTCTTTGGCAAGTCCTATGTGCATAAGGCGAAGGATGGTAAGACAAGGAATGTATGAGACTGTGAAACTTGCAAGTATGTGATTTTTTCATTCTTCAAATCTTGACTCACAGAATTATAGGAAGAAGGGGTCACCCTCGTAAATAGTTAGTGATGCGTCAACATGCCACTGTCACCTTGCATTTCACCACACGGTAAGTTTATTTGTTATCTGTTCTTGACATCTTCATCTCACTTGCCATCAGGATGCTTACCGCAAGTGGTGCAAGGCCAATAAATTTGCCTCAATGCTACCTCAAGATATCAAGGAGCGCAAGACTGCTGCTGCTGCTGTTGCGAGTGCACAGCAAGCTAATCTCGATGGCCATCTCCACAAGATTGAGCCTCATGAGGCCATTATTCCCTACTCTGACTCACTGTTTCGTGACACCGCTGTGGAATGGCTCATATCCACTGGACAGGTATGTTTTTCATTTATTTGATCTAATTCACTTATTCTAGTCCCTATCATAGCCCATCCAAGCTGTGGACCACCCCAGTTTCAAGAAGATGATAGATGTCACTTCACGTGCTGCACACGGTGTCCACGTACCCAATCACAAGGCTACACGGGCCGAAATAATGGACTTATTCAAGAAACAAATGATGAAGTTAAAGGAGTGCCTTAATGCAAGTTATTTTTTTATGTTTCTTTCTTCACTACTCATTTCTTATATCACACAGAGTAAGATTGTCAAGGGCGAGGTTAACTTGACCTGCGACACTTGGCAGGCAAGTAATGACAACGGTTACTTTGCCGTGACAGGTCATTGGATCGAGGAGGCGTCTTCAGATACCTGGGACCTTCAATGCGCAGTGCTTGGGTTCACTCAACTCAACAATTCACATAACGGACAGTGACTGGGTCAAGCCCTGTATGGTATTGGCCATATTACGTGCGACAATGCAAGCAACAACGACACAATGCTTGATGAATTTGTGTATCAAATCAAGCGAGGCGTCAGTCGAACATGGATACCAGAGAAGTGCCGCATCAGGTAAGTTCACCTGTTACTTGTTCAGCATTGGCTAATATACATCACGAAGGTGCCTTGCTCATGTCATTCATCTTGCAACACGAGCTCTCATCACTACCTACAGCAAAGCACCCTACTACAACCCTCAGCACACGGACCTTTCTGTACCGCAAGAAAATGGTTGCTGTGACAAAGTTGGTCTCATTCGTGCCATCACAGTCAAGGAACAATCTTTAGCTCAACGCAAGCAGCTGTTCAAGGACATTCAAGCTCATCCTCCCAACCCAAGTCCTGTCGTATCTCAGCTACTACTAGATATGCCTATCCGATGGTCATCTACGTACATCATGCTGGACCGTGCCGAAAAAAAGAAAGCGGTATGTTTTAATTAACAATGACATTTGTTCTGAGACTAACTTTCCTTGAGTATATCAACACATTTGTATACGAAGTTGGACTATGTGAAGGCAACCTCGCAAAACATAAGAAAATTGACGAGTTGAGACTTAGTATGGCCAAGTGGGATCATGTTAAGCTATTTACATCTCTTCTAGCTGTTTGTTGTCCATTCTTTATGTCCGACTGCAGTCACTGACTCCGAACTCGTATTTCAACATGTCAACAATGCTCAACAGAGCTTCTCCTCAGATAGAGGTCCTTCCCTTCAACAAGCATTGCCAGCTCTCGAGGCATTACACAAGGCTTGGTCATCACGCTCCACAAATCCAAGATACGAGGCTTTTCATATAGCATTGAATGCTGCTGTCGAGAAAATCAAGCAGTATTATGATCAAACTTCTGAGAGTGAGACATATATTATGTCTATGTGTAAGTTAAGTTCACTCCAGCATTTCATACTCTCATTCAATTGAACTTTCTAGTGCTTGACCCTTCCCAGAAGGATACCCATTTCAAGAGATTTTGGGGCAAGACCTTACATGCTGAGGCCCTCGACAAGGCCGAGAGAATAGTAAGTGCAAACACTTGTGAAGGTCATTGACTAATGTCCTCGTAGTTTCAGGAACATCATGTCGAGCTATATGGTGAACATGGAGCTCCTTCTTCACCAAAAAAGAGGAGGGTAGGCAAGGTAAATGCACTCCTTCGTGAGTTGTCCAGTGATGAGAGTGAAGGTGAACTCGAAGACTCACCTATTGATCCTCAATCACCATGGGCAAGGGAGTTCCACCTTTATCTCAATACCGCTACCTTGATTCCGGAGAGCATGTCTATTATACAATGGTGGGGGGTAAGTATATTTTATATCCTTGTGTCTTACACTACTAATTTACACTCGAAGTTGAATGCTCAGCAATACCCAGTATGGGCATCTCTTGCCCATGACTACTTATCTATCATGGCTACATCAGTCTCTAGTGAGCGTGCTTTTTCAGCTGCTGCTCTAACTATTACCAAGTGGCAAAATCACCTAGAGGGTGATATTGTGGAGGCTATCCAAGTCTTACGCATGTTGTACAATCGTGACCTTATGTTTTGTGAGCCTACCCCTTCATCTGCTTTAGAGTTAGCATTAGAAGAGCCAGAAGTTGGTGAGGAAGTTGATTCTGGTGTTCAAGGGAGGACTGCCTGGGATTTGGAGCTATCTGATATACCATCTGACTAGTATTCAAATAAATAAACATCATTTTTCATCATTTTCTTTGATTTTATTGAGAGGCCCTGGCCTGGGCCAAAGTCAAGCCCAGGCCAGGCCCAACCAGAGGGCTTTGGCCTGGCCTGGGTTTTTGCCAGGCCTGAGCCCTCTGAAGCCAGGCCCGGCATATCACTATGTGTAACACCTTATTATGCAATGTATTGTAGTGAAAAGAGGGACTGGAGGGCCATGCAGCATCAGACATAGGCCTGGGATGACATGTCTGATGGATGTGACAGCCTGAGATGCATTGTTTGCCAGACCACGGGTGACCAAATGCAGTGATTCTCCCCCTAGATCTTTGGTGTAAAAATTGCATCACCTCCTGCAGCCACTTCTTCATAGGTGAGTATTCCTCATGCTCATCAAAATATATTCATTTATACTATAGAAAGATATCCTCTTAATATATCATGTTCAAACATATGAAGAACAAAAAGATAGACAAAAAGTCAAATCTGAGACCCCGAAAGCAAACAAACAAGTGCAACTAGGTAGGTTGGTGTTCAAATTCCTTATCCTGCTACCCCCTTGGTCATGCCTCCACTTTTTCTCGTTTTGTCCAGGGCTCTTTAGCCTTCAATAACAGCCAGCTCCTTGGCATGTTGAGGAGCCGATTTTGGCTACACCGGTGTTTGAACGCTTTCTAAAATCCAGCGAGGCTCATTAGTTGGGTTTAATTTTTAGTAATAGGTTATCTGCTTATATAACATCTGTTAACCCTTAGTGCTCATGTGCATCAACAGCGGACAGCAGTTAGACTACTCTGAGCTCCCCTATTAAATCGAGTTTCAATTTATTTAAGCAAGTTGAATCAATGCTCGCATGTGGGTTTGGCCGAGTCCTGGTCCATGCGCATGCTTGTCACATCTAACGATGACGCATGCCTGTGACCAGGTCTCCTAAACACTGGTGTTGCAGAAGGGTCTTCAACCTTTCATCTTTGCTGTCATCCAGTGTTTGAGCACTGCTTGTGCACATCTGCACCGTAATTTTAAAGCTATTTATTTGAATCTCGTTCATACTTAATTCCATCGTCCCTCCATGTCAGAATCACAAAATGCCGCATCAAACACTCAATCAATGTCTATCAGACTTGGAATGTCAGGGGATTCAACCCAAACCAACCTTGGAGGACCGTCTATTTTGGAACAAGACTTGGTTCAGAAATGTATCAGTATCGTCAAAGACTACAAACACACCCTCATCTCAAAAGAAGAAGCCATTATCACTATCACAAAGACTATTGCTGCAACAACCGATGAAGCCTCAAATCAAGCAGAGTCTTATATCACGTCTCCATATTTTGAGATGCTCGAGCAATGGTCCAGAGACCTTGAGAGAACCAGAGCCCACCATGAGTCAAACTTTGTGTGATGTTCGGAGGATAGAGACTCCAACCCTCCTAGAGAGGATGAAGATCAATGAGAGCAGAGCATTGAACAAGGTGAACCTGTTCAAAAATGGTACAAACTTGACCTTGCCTGCCTTGGACAAGCCGAGAAATTATTCAGAGGAGGTCAGCTCTCAGCAAACCTCGCATGCACTAATGAAGTCCTCCTTAATTGGTTGCAAGACCCAAAAGAAGTACGGCGCCAACTCATGTATCACCACTGCTGCCTGAAATTCCATAAAGCTGGATGGGCTGAAATTGTTGCCAGGAAATGCATCAATCTTGATGCTGTACACTCCATCATCTCATCCTCACATACCATTGACAAGTGCACCGAGACTATCGGAGATATTGAGATCAAATTTTCTGGAACCTCAGCGGTGTGTCAAAGAAGATCACAACAGCAGCACAATGGTCTGCAGCCTGGAACAGGACTGCAAGAGCCATCAAGTTTGCTTTCCCTCATCGAGAGGATGAGCTTGCTGCCTATGGAGAGTATATTAATGACAAATTTGACTGCAGACTCGAGCGTACCCATGAAAGGATCATCAGGTTTGATAAAGCTGTCAGAAACCGTGTCGCAAACACACGCAGAGTCGGACTTTCAGACTTTGCTGCATTCACTGACATCTACAAGTCCCATTTCCAGTCCGATGGCCGACACTTTGACGAAGATAAGCAGTCAAAACCCGGTGCTCCAGCACAGGACAAATCTGCTTTCAGTCAGTGTGAGCCCTGTCATAAATGAAACACTGGAGAATGTACACAAAGTGCACAAACCTGCCGCTATGCACATGTCTGCTCACATGAGCAAGACAGCAAACTTTGCGCACGACATCACATGGAAGCGAGGCATCTTGAGGAATCCAAGTCCAAGTCCACATGAATCACCACTTAAATGTCCTCATCATCGACGAGGACTTATCTGGTCACCAGTAGATGCTACTTTTAGTCCAACTGCTCATTCCTCAGAATATGCTGAACCTGTCCCTTCACCTCCTTCGCATGAAGCCTCTGATAGTGATGTGGCTTGAACCATTGCTCAGAGACCTGACCTCTTTTGTATTGTCACACCTATCAACGTTAATCATTTCAAAAGCTTACTCTCAGACCACCCAAATCAACCTTTTGTCAAATCTGTCTGTCGAGCCTTGCGCCAAGGTTTCTGGCCATGGGCTGATACCTCTTATGTTTCATATCCTTCCATTAATGATAACTCATCGCATACATGCTCGAAGACAGATGACCAACTTCGCTTCATTGAAGACCAAATGCACGAAGAAATATGATTGGGATGCATTTCAGAAAGTTTTGGTACAGAACTTTATCCTGGCATGTATAGTGTGCCAATGCACACTGTACCTAAGCCAAATTCTGACAAACTTCACCTTGTCATTGATCACATAGCAGGTGACTACTCGCTCAACTCAATGATTGACCATGATGCTATTAAAGGGACCAAACTTGACGGACTACATTCACTTGGAGCTTTGTTGCTGCACTTTTGCAAACAACACCCTAACGTCAAATTGGTGATGTTCAAGTCTGACATTTCTCAGGCTTTTCGTTGCTTACCCATGCATTTTCTGTGGCAAGTTGAGCAGATTTTGACCGTTCATGGTCAACATCACGTTGACTGTAACAACAACTTTGGAGGAAGAGGGTCTCCCAAAGTCTGGATCTCCTTTATGTGCCTCATAGCTTGGATTGTGATTCATCACATTCTCATAGATGCTCTCAAGACTTACATGGACAACTCTTTCTCATTCGAAGTTGCAGGGCACCTATTATATTATGCTCCCTATGACTGCTACTTCCCAGCAAAGCAGACTCACCTACTGCAATTACGGGACGAACTCAATTTACCTCATGAATGGCCCAAACAACTTTTCGGAGCTACCTTGATGGTTATTGGATTCAATGTCGACCCAAATGCAATGCAGGTAACCTTGCCAACTCACAAGAAAGAAAAGTTGGTCATTGAGCTGCGTCGTTTTGCACACAAAAATCACTGCTGGTCCTTACATGAATTCCAATGTCTCGCCAGTTGGTGTGAATGGAGCTTCAACGATTGAAGCCGGGTCTGTTGGTGCTCTACAACAAGATCCGCCAGAAAACCAATCCTCTGGCACAGATACACACCAACAATCCACTGCTGCATGAGCTACATTGGCTCGCTGGTCATATAGAACGCTCTGATGGCTTACATTTGTTCAGATGCTTAGATTTCGACCCTTTGCGAGACAATGTTGTAGTCGTCTACACAGATGCTTTGGCAGTCAGTTTGGGTCTCTGGTTTCCTGATGAGAATTTTGCTTGTCAATGCCATCTACCATCTAATCAGCCTTGCGACACTATCTTTTTCACAGAAGCATTAGCTGTATGCTCTGCTATCCATTCGGTAGTGAACATGGACGAACCACCCGCCAAAATGCTCATTTACACCGATAACTCCAATACAGTGACTATGTTTGATTCATTACGTGCTAAACCTGCTCACAACTCTTTGCTACTCTCAGCAGTGGATGTTCTGCTCAAGTATGGAGTTGACCTGCAGGTAGAACACATTCCAGGGCAACAGAATATCATAGCAGATGCCCTTTCGCATTTTCATAACGAGCTTGTCAAAGATCTCATACCCACAGCTCAAATCTTTGACTTCGAACCCCCTCAGGATGCGTTGGGGGTGACAAAAAAATGAACATTGGCACTGTCCGGTCCAAGCAACCCTTACGGGAGGCTTGGACACCCGAATGCTTGTTGTTAGAGCGTTCATTGGCACTCGGCTATGCTATTGAATCCATGACTGCCTCAGCTTATGACTCCCATCTCAACTCCTACCTTAACTTTTGTCACCTTCATCATCGAGCAATTGATCCCACTGAAGACACACTCTCATTTTTCGTCATTTGGTTATCACATTATATTGAACCAAGATCTGTCAACTCATATCTGTCCGGCATCGTAAATCATCTCGAAGCTCATTTCCCACATGTGCGCGACGTGCGCAAATCACTGCTTGTCACTCGTACTCTCAAAGGGTGCAAACGACGTCTATCTTGACCTATCCAACAAAAGCAACTGTTTACTCACCAAGATCTCATGCTCGTAGTGAATACATTTGCTCACTCAAACGTCTTTGACAATTCCTTAATCACGACCCTGCTGGTCACTGGCTTCAAAACTTTGCAACGGCTGGCAGAATTATGTTGGCCTAATGCGAAGAAACACTAATCATACCACAAAGTTCCCCTTCAACATTCCCTAACCTTGACACCTCATTCTGCAACCTACACACTCCCTCATCACAAAACGAATCTAGGAGTGGGATGCGAGATTCTCTTGCTGGATGAAACAGTTAATGGGGTGAATGCTGTAGAGGTTCTGTGGAGGTATGTGTCCGCTCGTGATGACCGCTTTCCACACCATCCACATCTATGGCTCATGGCCAATGGAACCATCCCAACACGCGCATGGTTTATGCAATACTTGCGTCATTTTTTCCCACCTTCAATCTCGGGACATTCGATGTGTGCTGGCGGAGCAACGGCTCTTGCTGCATCCGGTGTTGCACCTGCGCTGATTCAGGCAGCAGGATGCTGGAGCTCAAACGAGTTTCAAAAATATATTTGCAAGCATCCCTTCTTGCTTCATTTACTCATACACGGTTCTCAAAATCTGTAAACTCACCAAGTTGGACAGTTCTGTTTGGTCCTTGTGCGCAGATATGTGCAGCATTGTTTGCAGTGTCGTATTTCTCGAAATCGTGCGTCTCGACTCTCAACTTGGCTGTTCGGCCACATTCTAAAAAATTAAACATAAAAATTGTTACAGTTCCCTACCCTCCACTTCACTTTGTCACAGTGTCACCTTTCACACTGACATCTTTCACCCTTTCACCCCTTCACTCATCACATATGCATCACTTCACCTCTTCACATATCACAGAACATTCCACCACATTCCACGACCTTCTATCGTACAACTTCTCTATGATTATTCCTATTGGACGTTTACATTGTAGCTCCGCTTCAATACTCGTATATAAGACCTGTAGGTACAACATGTATTCTCTAACTTGACCTACCAGTTATCTGGTTAGTGTTTAGCAACCTGATTCTTTGAGTTATATCTTAGCGTTGGGTTAGATTGTAACAAAAATATTATTAAAAAAAAAAAAAATAGGCCCTATAGTGTTTCTTTCTTCCTAATGCCCAGGTTCAAGTCTCAAGAACTCAGCAGTACCTTACTTTTCATCGGTTCAGTTTGCTACTACATATGAGCTGTCCTATCTTGGCTGTGAAAATTGATTGCGGGTCCTTCGAGCATTGAGCAGGAGGACCCCACTTTATTAAAATAATTAAAAAAAAAATGAAGGAAAGGAAGGGATAGCTGTGTCCAGCTTCGTCTGGCTCGAAAGTCGCTGACATGATCTAGTAGGTTGGGCTGGACCAAGTGTTAGCTCGGGGTGGGACGCAGGCAGGTGGAGCCGCTCGGGAGGGCGGGACAACTGCTTACGAATTTGATCATGCTAGATGGCTATCGAGCGAGTGTGGGTTTGTTAAATTGTGCAATACAGTAACATATACAGTGTGAAATTAGGGAGAGGTGCATCAGGAAATTCTCACATTCCTTAATCTCCTTAATCAGCTTAACCTACTTATCTCAAAACTTGTTTGCTCTCTCTCACATTATTTACCTGGCATATTTCATATTTCTCTAGTGTGAAGCATAATAAAACATATATATCAATATACCTCAACATTTCCTTTCTGAATATACTCAAGTTGAAATGTTGGACAAGTAGATCCACCTTTCAACAAGACACTTAAGTGTATTAAGTCTGTTTAAGGACAAATAAAGTAATGTGAGAATTTCCTGATGTGGGTGGGTATAAATAAAGACTGTATGTCTGAATCGAGGTGAGGATGTACTAGGTACGACGAACTCGATGATGTGGAAGAGGAAAACAGGTGCAGAAGCGAACAGCGCGTCCGCTGACTCCGCTCAGCTGGACGTATGGTGCCGAGAAATTCCGGCGAGCTACATTACTCGGCACCTGAACATGGAACAAGTCGTATAGCGGAACAGCTGTAGCATAAGCATACATTATTTAGGCTTACCAGTGCTGAATTTTAATTCAGTAAATTTTTCACTGGGTGGCGCTGAATCGAAAGACTCATCCGCTGAAATTCAGAATCAGCGTTCTAATGAAATCCACTGCATGCAATTTCAGTGGAACTCTGAAATATTCAGCATCAGTGTATTGTTGGGACACCATGACAATGACATATAAAGCTAGCGCTGGCATCACGCTGTTGTATACTTCCAAGACGCGATAATTTTTCGGCACAGCCATATCATATGTTAGATTTATGGAACACCACAATTATTAACGCTATTCATATCAACTTAGGATTGATTTCCTGATGAGTCGTGGTAGCCGATAGTAACATAAAATGGAGTCATTTTGAACTTTCCTATTTAGTGTCGCGTGTCAGCCGGAAACCACGGGAGCATATATGCTCGTTGCTCACGTTTCCATTTCCGTCATGTTTTCCTCTCGCACCGTCTCACCGTATACGGGTATGGACATCAGGTCGTGGTCCGTGTGTTGAGTCCGAAGGATTCGGACCAGGAACGACGAGAGGATCTCGGATTGCAAGCCCAACTACTCAATACGTGAATTCACTTCGTCCGAGTCTCTACGTTAACATGCATAGAGCTATGAGTACTATCAGATCCGTACGAGCATTTCAGTTCCTTTCGAGACTGAGATGTGAGCTTTTGTTATTTTTCCCATTCTTACAATTTGCTAATGGCAGTCAGTAGATATCATGATATTGTTGGAGTTCTACTAGGTACATTATTCGACCATGAGTCCCTTCCCGAAACTGATCTTCTAATATCATTTGGCGTCCATATCTTGAATCCACGATTTGAACGCACAGTATCTAGTGATAGCACGTCACGGTAAAATGTTGTGACTCTCCCGCGGTCCCAGACCCCCGACCAGAAAAATAATTGTATGTAAGATCTCTACTTGAGATTATGAATCTGCAGAAGTTTGCTAATGCTAGGCACGGACTCCGAAGCTAGCTACTTCGGTCTTGGACTGTCTCTAAGCATTCAAATAGCCAGCATCTGTGCTCTCCATCGTGCCCCATCTTCCATTTTTTACCTGCGACACCTAACTGAGCTCGATGTCGTTTGCCTCGGATTACACCACTCTCATCTTCGACATCGGTGACGTTTTGTTCTCTTGGTCCCCGCAGACCAGAACCTCCATATCCCAAAACGTTTTACGTAAAATCCTTTCATCTCCCACATGGATTGACTACGAAAGGGGAAGGATCCCCCAGGCTGAGTGTTATGCTAGGGTTGGAGGAGAATTCTCTGTAGACCCCACAGAGGTTGCTCGTACATTTCAAGATGCTCGTGACTCTCTGCAGTCCAATGAAGAGCTTATATCGGTTATTCGACGCCTCAAAGCACACTCGAACGGAACGCTACATGTCTTCGCCATGTCAAATATATCTGCGCCTGACTATGAAGTGCTTCGTACCAAGCCTGCTGATTGGTCGTTGTTTGACGGCATCTTCACCTCCGCCGACGTAGGCGAGCGGAAACCTAACCTTGGCTTCTACAAGGCAGTGATTTCAAGTACAGGGGCTGACCCCTCCCGCACCATCTTTGTGGACGATAAAATGGAGAATGTCCTCTCCGCTCGTTCGCTTGGAATGCGTGGTATTATTTTCGACGATAACAGTAAAGTCATCCGCGCACTTTATAACCTGCTTGGAGACCCTATCGAAAGGGGCAGTCAATACTTGGCTGTGAATGCGAAGAGACTCCTATCTGTAACTGATAACGGTATTCTCTTACGGGAGAATTTCGCTCAGTTGCTGATACTAGAAGCGACTGATAACCGGTAAGTATATTACCTTCCTTTCCCTGCACTCATTGAACAGCATGTCAGGAGTCTCGTCAATTTGACTGATACGTGTCGGACGTGGAATTTCTTCCAGGGTACGTACCAAATGCTTGCCACCATTATCTAGCGCTGATTTGGTATCAGAAAGACCATTGCTTACTACCGAAGAGTTTCCTTTTGACTTGGATACCACCTCACTTGGGTTGACCGTAATAGGCAGCCCTGAGGACGTAGTACACTCCGTCATGGATGACATGCTTGACTATATTGATGACGATGGGATTATTCAGGTACGTGCGTTCAGCTATCATTTCCCATTCGTTGGCCGACCTCCCCTTAATCATAGACATACTTTGACCATCGTCGACCTCGGTTTGATCCGGTCGTGTGCGTCAATGCGCTCACATTATTCTATTCTTATGGCCGTGGCTATCAGCTCGATCGCACCCTTCGCTGGATACGCGAGGTGCTCCTGCATCGAGCTTATCTCGACGGTACACGATATTATGCAACCCCGGAATGCTTCCTTTATTTCCTTGGACGTCTACTTGAAATCAGCAGCGACGTCTACCTGGCAGCCTATATAAAGCCACTGCTGATCGAACGTATTCAGGAGCGCATAGGGGCTGATGGTGACGCCCTGGCGCTTGCCATGCGCCTCAGGCTTTGTGCATCCTTTGGATTGCGCAACGACGTTGATCTTCGTACTTTGCTTCCTCTGCAATGCGAAGATGGAGGCTGGGAAATCGGTTGGATTTACAAATACGGATCTTCCGGTATCAAAATCGGAAACCGCGGTCTTACCACATCCCTGGCCGTGAAAGCCATTAAAGAGATGAAACAACGTTTCCCTGGTTCCCCTTCATCCCCTTCTGCTGCGCCTGCAATTCCCCTCGCTTATACAACTCCTCCTGAGCGCCTCTTCCATCACTCCCAGGACTCCCAGCTCCATAGCAACGAGCCCAACGGCCAGCGGCAACAGCAGTCAATCGTTCCGTTAGTTCCGGGATGATTGAGGAAATGACAAAAACTGTATGATGCAGGGTTCTAACTATAAATTTTTCGCCGTGGACTGCGGGCTCTTTTTTTCTTCTCACTGTCCAATATATCTCTTCAAAGACTGTCAAATATGTCTCTTCAAAGACTCACAATACATAGTAGCTGTCTTTATTACATAATAGTTCACGCCAAGTTCACGCAGACTTGAATGTGCTTTAGCTATTTTCGGATCAGTACTTAGTAGTGGCTTCGGCTTGATCGCCTTTCAGACGAATATATATCAGCTATACCACCTTTCTGTAGTCAATCGAGCGGAATCCTACGCACTTACAATAATCCTAAGCTCTCGTTGTAAAGTCTAGACCCTTTCACATCACCAAATGTCTAGAGATGTCGTGCGACATGATCCAGCTGACATCAAGCAGTCATGCCAGTGTACGCCAAACTTCGGTTACACTTGACCCTTCATGCAAAGACAGGACTTCCCAGCGCTGAGCGACCCGACAACCCTTTCTTTTATCTGAGATCAGGGATATGAGGTTCCATCCCACCACAGTTCGTCCTTGAGTTCTCGTAAACGTATACATTCAAGCATCATTCAATTGATATTCGGATAAAATCAACACCGACAGAATTGTATGCCTGCTGACGCACTCGGGCGTAACCCGGACATATATCCTATGCTGATCCATTTAGAGCAACCTGTCCTGCAAGACACCGCTTGTACACTTCGTTGTCAGTTTCCTCCACATAGTGATATCCCAAGTTGCCCAAAAACCCGTCGAATGCCGCGTAATCTTCTTGCGGAACTTGGATGGCCGTTAACACTTTGCCAAGGTCTGCGGCAAATTCATGAGCGAACAAAAGACGACAAAGAAGACATTGCACGAACCTGCGCCGTGGTTACGGTAGTGGAACATCGATATATTCCACCCTAATCCAGGATAAATACCCTGAAGGAACTTGCGCAGAGCGCCCGGTCGTTCAGGAAATTCTGGAGCGAGATTCTGGTAAGCACAGCGCGAAGTGGAAATACCAAATAATGCCTACCAAACCGGAACACTCTTTCGTTTGGGATCGCTGTGGATCCACGTATCATGTACCGTGCGTGAGATTTGGCGACTTCATCATCGCTAACGTCATATCCAGTCATCCCTTGTTTTTGAATTTCTTCAAGCACCTTCTCCACTTCTTTTTTGCGAAATGAGGTTTCTAGCTTGAATGAGAGGAATATATGTGCGGTGTTCGGATCGTCATAGCGGTATATGAACTCTGTTGTTGCCCGCGGGTGGATGATGGAGTGTAATGCGAAGAAGCTGTATAGGCACAAGAACGGAAGTCAACCAATAAATAACAAATGCAAGGGACAGGATGTGATGACTTAGAATGAAGGACTTACCTTCCAGGCTTTTCTGGTATCGCCACGCTCAGAAGCGCTTCACGTCCCTCACCCAATTCTGCACGCTCTGCAACGAACCGCAGCCTGTCAAAGTTGATGTTGGCTCCACTGACAACGGCGACGAATTTTTTATTTGCGCCGACTAGATTTTTATTTATGATGTGTCGCTTTAAGCCTGCCAGACTTAAGGCTCCGGAAGGCTCTGTAACGGACCTGGTTTCTAAGTTTATGAGCAGGGTAAATATTTTTTTAAGAGGATTGGAAAATCCCTTACCTTCGAAGATATCTTTGATAGCGGCGCATATTTCATCGTTGTCAACTAGGACTATGTCATCCAAGAGTCTCTGGCATATCCTGAATGGCTCCTCGCCAACGATTCTTACTGCTGTGCCATCTGCAAAGGGGCCGACCTCAGCTAAAGTCACTCTCGACCCTCTCTTCAAACTCTGTGCCATAGCATCCCCATCAAAGGTCTCGACACCATGCACTTTTGTGTTTGGGTTGCCTATGCGTTTAACATATTCACATATTCCAGAGACAAGACCGCCACCGCCAACTGCACCGAAGATAGCATCGAGATTGTCAGAGTCTGGAATTTGTTTTAATATTTCCATGCCAACCGTACCCTGACCTGCGATTACGAGCGGGTCATCGTATGGCGGGACAAATATCAGCCCATGAGTGGCAGCTAATCTTGCACATTCTGCCTTTGCTTCGTCGAAGTCGACACCATGGAGTACGACCTTTGCACCGAGCCGTTCGACATTGCGAACTTTGATGGATGGAGTGCCCTTTGGCATCACAATGGTACAGGGTATCCCCAGACGTTCACCAGAAAGGGCTACACCTTGCGCATGATTGCCTAACAACGCCAAGTCAGCGATTTAGACGGGAAAACATAATATGACTAAAGGCGCCGCAAGTACGCACACTAACCAGCGCTGCATGTTACAACACCTTTCCACCGCTCTTCTTCAGATAGCCCTGCCATGAAGTTATAGGCACCTCGAATTTTGAAGCTGAAAACCTCTTGTAGATCCTCTCGTTTCAGCCATATCTGATTGCCCAGCCTTGCACTAAGGTTTGGGGCGTAGACCAGGGGTGTTTCTTTCAAGATCTCATATACTTTCGAAGTGAGGATAAGACGAAGATAATCAGGTTCTTTCGAGGATAGCAAGTGGTGTTGAGACAAGCGAGGATAGATGAGAGGCTGAGGCGCGTCAGAAGAGTACTCTAAGATTGCATTAGCTGGTGCCATGGGTGAACGTTGAAGACATATCTACGCGAACTCGACAAGTTTTTATGTAACCGACAACAAAAATGACTCGGTGCTTGCCGGAATAGGAAACCGCGTGCACCGTAGTAGTACCAATTGACTACATAGTGCTAGTCCAACGGAATCTGTGTTTTCATATACTATATGGGTCTCAGCCAGATGGCAACGCAGGTACTATATAAGCATTTCCTGCAGCGCGAAAATGACACGTGCGTCATAACACCCGTGGAGAGATCACGTGCGCGAGATATCATGACGGGGGGTATATGAGGAACACTGGCAAAGACAATGACAACAACTCGACCTGCACATTCAAACGTTCAATTTAGCTAGTCGTTAGAAAGATAGAAAGCAAGAACGTACCAAGTGCGGGCTTATATGTACCCAATCCCAACTAAACGACCACCGTACACTGACAAAGACCTGAGTAGTTTTTGACTAGATTTTTTACATTCTTTCTATCAGTTGCTGCAGCGGAAAACTCGGGCAAGTAAGATAGAAGGAAGAAGGAAGAATTGAGGTAACGAAAAGAGTTGAACGATTGTGCAGAGAAGAGTCGGAAGATAACAAGTATGCTGCCAGCCCTAAATAAATGTAAAGTCAAACTATACTCAGATCCACCACAAGCCTGCCAAACAAACTCTTCCCCTCTCCCTGCTCACTACCAGTTTATGGCCCAGTCCTCAATAATGGGCCCTCCTCTTTCACCACGAGAAACACGACGTTCAGGAAGACGTTCTGCTCCATCTGCTTCAGCTAGTACTTCCAAATCTCCAGACTCCCCGGCCTCTGAGTCCCTCCCCCGAACAAAGGAGCCTATCACACGTCCTGCCATACTTTCCAGCACCAACAACAACAACAACAACCGCACAAAGCGTTTGAAGCAAGAAGATCCCGAAGAGCCTGTCCCTACCAAGAACGCTCATACCAATGGCGTCAACTCCAGTCATGGGAACTCAAACGGGCGCGCAAAGCGCAAGGCCAACGGCAAGGAGAAAAACCTGATATCTACTGACCAGTTGATCGAATCAGCTTCCACTAAACTCAGCAACTCTAATACTGGAAGCGCCGCAGACCCTCAAGACGATGACCCAGAGGAACAGGGTATCACGCGCTGCATATGTGGCCAGAATGGTATGTTATCATCGACTATGTATCGATCATTCTCTTACCTTTCCGACAGAGGAAGATGCTGATGCAGGAGAGTTCATGGTCCAGTGTGAAACCTGCAATGTCTGGCAGCATGGCCTATGCATGGGGTACCAGCATGAAGCAGATCTACAGGACGAATACCACTGTGAACAATGCAAGCCTGAGCGCCACCAGGACCTTCTGAAGTAAGCTGTTTTTGACTCCCGTGTTCACAATCATGTTTTGACTAGTTCCATCTCCACAGGAGATTAGCCAAAAAACCTCGCCAATCATCTGCCAACTCGCACCACACTGCTTCGCGTCTGTCACGATCACACTCTCCGACACATCTTTTGAAACCACCCAAACGAAGGAACACGATGAACAGCCGCGACGCGGCGTTTGACGAAAGCTTAAAAGAGATCATCGAAGCGACGGCAGCTGAAGCTGCAGCCGCGACAGACCCACATCCCACTCAAACAAATGGGAGTGTTAATGGTCACGCTGAAAGCCACGAAGATCAAGATTCGAACAGTCGCAAAAAGCGCAAGCGTACAGAGGACGACGTGTCAGTATTCTTGCTATATTCATGTGCTTTTGTTTGTCTGACGTCATAACTCAGTCTGCCCAAGAAACGTACACGATCAGCCTCGACTGCCTCTGATCATCAGCCAGAAGTGGTGACAGCCGTGCCAGAGGAGATACCAGCTCCTTCAGCCAAAAAGGCAGGTGCCACTGTGAAGTCAGGCAACCGCAATCGAAGAGGCGGTGGATCACGGAAGACAGTAGTTGTTAATCAAGATGTAGTCGCTGCCACTGAAGGCGAAGAAGGTATGTCTGTAACATTCAGCGACAAGGATAAACCTCACGTGACTTAATGAAATTCAAGTTGCCGGTCCCAGTAAGCGACCTACGGCAAGCCTCCGGAACAAAACAAACCCCACACCCAAAAGACCACCTCCATCTTCTCACGCTGGGAGCGTGCCAAGTGACCCTACTAGGCGCACTGGTGGAGTCGCGGTTGTCAGTTCAGAAAACTCTCGCGCATATCGCAATTCCCATGCTTATGCTGTCTCGCAACAACCAATGTTTACGTCATGGAACCTACCAGATTATCTTGCTCACCTGGAACCAATGCTGCCGACAGACACGCCCCGTCCCCTGGAAGTCCGCGGTTCGGGCATTGGGCCCAGAGAGTCGGCCGACCGAACCATGGAGAGGGGTGTGAAGGTCAAATGGCCCAGTAAACGAATGAGTGTAGGGGATATGAACAAGCGCGTGCGCGCATTGGTGGAGTGGGTAGGAAGGGAACAAGCTGGGGCGCTTGACCGCGGGCGTCGGAGGGATGCGCTAGAAAAGGCACTGAAGGCGGTGAAAGCACAGGCTTCTAATTCCACAAATCCCCCACCTCGTGATGACCGTGAAGTCGGTGGAGGAGACACCGTGGGCTCACCCATGGTTTTGGACAGTACCGCCACTATATCCGTTGATGGATCTTCGGACACCAGTTATGGGAATGCGTCTGCGCCATC